AAGAACCTCACTTCTTGCATTTGAAGAAGTGAGGTTCTTACCCACGAAAGCTTATGCTCCCAATACTTCTGTTAGTCTTAAAGGTGCCACAGGACCCTCTGTGACTATTATTGTTGTTTGTTTATCATCACTTTAATTTTCAGGGTCTCAGTTCTTAATATTTGGGTTACAAATGGAATTTTGGGGTGAGCTATTAATGGAAGATCGAGTGGAAGGACTTAAAGGGTTTAAAGGAAAATAAATGGCAATCAAGACTAGTGTCGGCATTGCCTTTCTTATGGTATGAAGCCCAGGACCTTGTAAGATTGAAAAATGTTTCATGTAAAATGTTTTATGTTATTCTTTAAAACGTATAAAATGTTGCCATCCATATGATTATTTGACAAGATGGAAGCACTTTAAAGGCTAAATTAATTTTTTCCTCCTTTGCCGTTTGCAATGAATAATCAATAGGCTGTTTGTATTTTTTTTTTTCAGATAACCTTTTTCATGCTACTGTCTGCAGTGTGTGTAATGTTGAACTTGGCTGGTTCCATTCTCTCATGTCAGAATGCTCAGCTGGTAAACTCCCTGGAAGGCTGTCAGTTGGTGAGTAATGAAAAACCAACTCTTTTAATAAGGGCAAAGGCTTTTCTTTTTCGGCAATCATAAAATTATCAGTTTCATTCCTGTCATTGCATGTGTCTGTTATTTGATACTGCCTTTAAGCCTAAAACATGATTATTTTGTTGGAAGAAACTTTAGATAAAAGTGCTACAGTCTTTATAAGATATTGTTTCCTCAAAACATAAGCTGTTACATTAGAAATGTGTGCTTATACTGCAATAATGTAAGGGAGACACCAATACACAATGGGTGAAATCTTGGCCTCAGTGAAGTCAAAACTCCTGTTGACTTCAGCAGGACCAAACTTTCAGCCAATCTCTCCTTCTCTAGCCAATGGAGTTTCATAGGCATGCTGTTAGTTATGTTTCAGTATCTATGCAATAATATTTTGGTTACCAACTTTACTACTACAGTCTGCTTTTAAAAAAGCTTCCAGTGTAAATACATTACCTATGGATCTAGTCTGATAACAGAGAATCATAAATATGAACTTATCAAGGCATGTATACTATGACTTAAAAGTCATATGGTCTGCAGGTATATATTAGATTACTGTATGCTAACCCTTCAGCGGGGAAAAAAGTATAGATCACCTGTAAGAATATTTGTGACAACACTAATAAGGTATTAAGAAATATAGAGAGCTAAATTAATCCCAGAAGTAAACCTACTGATTTAAGGAATTTAAAGAAGATGAGGGGGAAATAACACAACTTTTGTCATGAATGTGATGGTTCTTGGTGTATCCAGGACTATGTCAGATTATTACCCCGGTCTCTAGAGAGGAGGGGGTCTTCCTTGTAGTGGCTGTGTGTCAGCTCCCTAGTACCACCAGCGTTTCAGTCACTGAAACACTCTCCTCTGGGCTGTGCCATCACTAACTTCACCTTGCAGGATAACAATAGGTACACCCCAACTCCCGAGTGCCTGTGAATCTTTCCCCTGTTTTGTCTGCCCTAATACTGGCTACTCACAGAAGTTCCAGATCCTTTGCATCCAAAAGTGCAGTGTACCTCAATTTACCAGTTTTACCTTAAAACACCGCTCCTCATAGGTCATGTTCTATTGCTCTTTTCTGGACTGTCTCCAATTTGTCCACATCTTTCCTGAAATGTGGTGCCCAGAACTGGACACGATACTCCATCTGAGGCCTAATCAGCGCAGAGTAGAACAGAAGAATTACTTCTCGTGTCTTGCTTACAACACTCCTGCTACACATCTGTAGCAAAGTGAGACTGACCTGTGCAGCACTTCCTGCTGGGTATCCTGGGAATTATCTCGATTTCAGCCCAGAGCGCCTTCTGCTGGCCGGTGGCTCACCTGCCTCAGGCCCCGTATCCCGCCCAGACCCCGGTGCCCTTTACCTCGGGGTTCTGCCCCTGCAGTACCCCTGCTCTGGGTCTCCCCTCCCAGGGGAACCCCCCCTCTAAACCCAGCTTGCCTCAGTGGCTACTGCCCATCATCATCCAGTCCCTGCTCACTGGGGCAGACTGCAGTCTGTAAATCACTCATCATTGACGGGAGGGGGAGGGGGTTGGACTTGCTGCCTCTGCCTAACCCCGGCTGCACCTTTGCAACCCCAGTACCTGTTTTGGCCTTTCGCAAGGCCCACAGCCCAGGGCCGCCCCGGGGGGGGCAAGTGGGGCAATTTGCCCCAGGCCCCGGGCTCCGCAGGGGCCCCCATGAGAATGGCTGAGGCTCCCTCCCCGGCTCCACCCCTCTCCCAGAGCCTCAGCGCATCCAGGAGCGTCCCTGGCTCCGGTGGGGCCTGACCTCCTCCCTGCTCAGAGCCGCGTGGTAAGGGGGTGGGGCTACGAGCTCTGGGCCGAGCGGCGGGAGCTCAGGCCCCGCTGGAGCTCGCAGCCCCACCCCCTTACTATGCGGCTCCGAGCAGGGAGGAGCTCAGGCCCCACCGGAGCCACACTGCAGCGCTGTCCAGGGACGCTCCTGGATGTGGCGCGCTGAGGCTCCGGGTGAGGGGAGAGCTGGGGGTAAGGGGCCCGGGACCAGGGGGGGTTGGATAAGGGGCAGGGAGGGGCAGGGGTTGGGGGGGCAGTCAGGGGACAGGGGATGGTGGGGTTGGATCGTGGGTGTTCCGGGGGTCTGTCAGGACTCGGCGGGGGGGTTGATGGGGTCGGGGCAGTCAGGGGACAGGGAGCAGGGGTGGAGTCCCGGGGTGGTGGTTGGGGGGGTCTCTAAGGGACGGTGAGGGGACAAGGAGCAGGGTGGTGAGGGGATTCTGAGGGGGGTGGGCAATCGGGGGGCAGGAAGTGGGTGGGGGTCAGATAGGGGGCAGGGCCAAGCTGTTTGGGAGGCACAGCCTTCCCTACCCTAAAGCTCATTCAGCAGTTTGAGGCTTGCAGAAGAGCCAAGCTGTTAGCTTTTCCATTAGGGCTGCCGTCCCTTTCACTTCTCAAATGCCAAATTATAGTCTATATTTAATTTCAGTGCTGTAGGGAGATTCATGTCAGGGGAGAATAGCTTCATTTAAAATTAGCCACTGGGGGAGGGATCACATGAGGAGAGCAATATCCCACCACCTACCTCCTTCCCAACCCTACCACGGAAGACCGCCCCCCTCCGCTGCATTCCCTGAGGCTTCAGAGGGGTTAATTCAGTGGTTCTCAAACTTTTGTACTGGTGACCCCTTTCTGAGTGCGACCCCTCCTTATAAATTAAAAACATTTTTTTATTAATTTAACACTATTATAAATGCTGGAGGCAAAGCGGGATTTGAGGTGGAGGCTGGCAGCTTGCGACCCCCAGTAATAACCTCGTGACCCCCTGAGGGGTCTTGACCCCCAGTTTGAGAACCCCTGGGTTAATTTCATTTTAGCACCCTGTGTCCATTCACATGCATGTGCTATTTTGAGCATTTCAGTTTTCACAACATAGTCTCATCCCAGATTCTGGAACAAGCTCAAATGCACAGTTCAACCTCTCCAGCGCATAATCAAAGATCTACAACCTATCCTGAAAGATGATCCCTCACTCTCACAGATCTTGGGAGACAGACCAGTCCTCGCTTACAGACAGCCTCCCAACCTTAAGCAAATACTCACCAGCAACCACACACCATACAACAAAAACACTAACCCAGGAACCTATCCTTGCAACAAAGCCCGATGTCAGCTCTGTCCACATATCTATTCAAGTGACACCATCAAGTGACAGACTTGAAGGTGTCAGTTTTGCAACAAAAAAACTTCAAAAACAGACTCCAAAGGGAGACTGCTGAACTCGAATTAATATGCAAATTAGACACAATTAACTTAGGCCTAAACAGAGACTGGGAATGGTTGGGTCATTACACTAATTGAATTTTTTTCCCCCATGTTAAGTTCTCCTCACACCTTCTATGGGTCATCTTGATTATCACTTCAAAGTTTTTTCTTCTGCTTCTACTGATAGCTCATCTCAATTGATTGGCCTCTTACAATTGGTATGCGTACTTCCACCTTTTCATGTTCTCTGTATGTATAAATATCTTCTGTCTGTGTGTTCCACTCTATGCATCTGAAGAAGTGAGCTGTAGCCCACGAAAGCTTATGCTGAAATAAATTCGTTAGTCTCTAAGGTGCCACAAGTACTCCTGTTCTTTTTATAGATTCAGTATTAGCAATGAGACAGAAGTCTGAAAGATTGATACTAAAGAAAGAGTAACAGCTTTGTGGATTTATTGATCCTGACAAAGCATATGACTTGGTTCGACAGGCGTTGGTTTTTGGAGTATTCAGATGAATGAGAGGGTTAAGCATGTAAGTCTTCAGGATAAGGGACTAAAGCATTGTCTAAAGTAATTGGCAAGGTTTTAAACTACTGTAATTGTGACCTGTAGGTAGGGTGATCAGACAGCAAATGTCAAAAATTGGGACAGGGGGTGGGGGGTAATAGGTACCTATGTAAGAAAAAGCTCCAAAAATCAGGACTGTCCCTATAAAATTGGGACATCTGGTCACCCTACTTGTATGTCATTATCTTGGAAATGACAGTTCATTGTAAAGAGTATCTTGAGACTTGTATCTAGACAGCTACATATTGATCGGTATGTGGTAGTCCATATTTTCAGATAATGAAATCTTGGCACATCTCTAGAGTAGGACAGTATTTAAGAAAAGGACAGGCTGTGGACAATGAAAGGAAAAATAAATAATTTATCCCTTTCTTGGTCAGATAAGCTACTCTTCATTTGCTGCCTGATAACCACCTCTTGAGGTTGCAGTGGAACTTTCTTAACTGGCCCAGGAGTAGTTAGAAATGTTACACTGTTTACTATATATAAAATACTGCACAATATAAAATTGTGTTTAAAAATGCTAAATTATTGATTTTGACTTTCGATTGACCACAGTAAAATATTCATGAACACACACAATAACTGAGGGGTTTGGTAATGCGATATAAAGTCACTTGTTTGACTTGAAATTTGGTCAGTAGTAACAAACTGTTCTCATAATTTGACAGCTGTTCAGTGACCTGTATGAACAGAATTAATGGTATAAGTCCATTCTCTGGTGGAGAGAGAGCCTTACTATGAAAACAATGCAGTTGGCACAAAATGTTCACAGTCTTTACTGAGAGGATTGAATGGGAATGGAAACTGAACAGCTGTCTTACCAAAAAAGGCAGATTATTGTATGCAATGCTATGTTAAATGTTAATACTTAGTGGTAAAGAGTATGGTAGGTTGAAAAAATGGAAAATTAATCATTAACTTTCTTCCCCTTCTGGTAAAATTTAGACAGGTAATGGGATATCATCATCATTGTAAGCAGATGTTGCATTTTAAAAAAAGTTCTTTCATACGGTGCTAACATTCTGCATATGCCATGAAGAATCTGTGTACCAAAACTGTGAAGTCCTGTTTTCAAAAGTGACTTAAGCACTTGAAAATTTTACCGCCTGGGGGTGGGGGTGGGGGAAGATAAACATAGCTATTTTCATTATTTACTTTTTTAAAAATTATCTGTGGAAAAAAATAA